AGGGTCTAGGCCCGAAATGTCAGCTTTCCTGCTCCTCTGATGCTGCTTGGCCTGCTGTGTTCATCCAGCTCGACACCTTGTTATCTCAGATTCTGCAGCATCTGCAGTTCCTACTATCTCAGAATTCTGACCTGAGCAGGTTCAGGTGACAACTATCTAACAGTACAGATCCCACTTTCCCAGTACTGGTATCAGTGCTGCAGACAATCAAAACCCACACCAGTCCATGCATTCATTTCTAACTTTAGTTATCCTTTGTCAAATTGCTCGTGGCTGTAGTAATAATGTAGAGATTATCCTAGAGGTTCTGCTTTTTAATTTAACTCTAATCTGCTCATATTCCCTCAGCAGGATCTCTTTTCTAGTTCTGTCAGCATTGGTATCTACCATATTTAGAACCACAATATGATCCTCCCCTCTACTGCAAGTTACTCTCCAGTCCAAAGGAGATATCCCAAACACTGACACCAAGCAGACAACACAGCCATCTGGACTCTTGTTCTAAGCTTCAGAAAGCTGTATCTATCTCCCTGTGCTAGCCCCTATTACCATTACGTTCCTGTCAACTTACCTCTTATATCATGGTGCAATTGGCAGTTCACTCAGCCACCCTGCACTGCCTGTTTTCATCCATACAAGAACCTCAAATCTGTTGGGTGATTGCAAAGGCTGAGGTTCCTGCAATTCCAACCTTTTGATGCCCCTTACCTACTTCACTTACACCCTCCTGTCCCTGACCATGTCCAAATTAAAAGACCCTATTCTAAAGGGATGAGACTGCCTGAAACAAAGTGTCCAGATAACTTCCCACCTTCCTAGTGTATTGCAGTGTCCGCTGAGTCACTGACTCTGAACCAAAGTTCTTTGATCCGCACATCTTGCTGCATATATGTTTACACTGGATCATGTGGAGTGGAGTCGAAAAGCTCCCATTTCCTACAGTTGCTGCACATCATCTGCCTTGCCATTTTTATGATGTTAAATTAAATAAAAATTAGTTAAGTATGATTAATAAACCCTACACTTCCCAATAAGCTTTAATAAATCTTGTACGAATATTAATATTTATAAAATCTGACATTTAATAAATTCAGTCCTGAATGATAGATGGGCAAAATACTCACCCATCAGTTATTCTGTGACGTCACATTTTTGATTTTTCTTTCTTGTGAAGTTTTGCTGCTGATCGATCCCACTGTCAGGCAGCTTTGAGTCTCTCCCGCTCTCTCACTAGTATTCGGGAGCTTCTAGTACCTCATTGGCTGGCATCTGTCTTTGGTGAGACTTTGTCCCTGAAGGATGGAATTTTCAGCGCAGGTCTCTTAATGACCACAGCCTTTAAATGGTTGCAGGGCAGCCAGTATTCAATCCATTGTTTCCATCTCTGGCCTTAGTCTGGTAAATCTATGCAGAATGGTTTCTTTGATTTTAATGTGCATTCAGTAAGTGCACCCAAAATCTTTGTTTTTCAGGTGAGATTGTAGACATGCTCACCAAGCTGGTGGGTTTGGTTACAAATGGTTCGTCACCCTGCGAGGTAACGTCGTCAGTGTGCCTCCAGTGAAGCATCGGTGTTCTGTCCCGCTCGTTATTTATATGGCTCGGTTTGTTGGGGTGTTTGGTACCATTTCCAGTTCTGTTTCTCAGTAGTTTGTACACAGGGTCGAATTCAATGTGTTTGTTGATGGAGTTCTGGTTAGAATACCTGGCCTCCAGGAATTCCCTGGTGTGTCTCTGTTTGGCTTGTGCGATTATGAATGTGTTGTCCCAGTCGAATTCCAAACCCACCGGCTCGGCAAACATGTCTACAACCTCATCCATAACCTGAGCTACAAATCTTCTTGAACAAATTTGACTGGGACAACACATCCTAAATAGCACAAGCCAAACAGAGAGACACCAGGGAATTCCTGGAGGCCTGGTATTTCAACTGGAACCCCATCAACAAACACATTGAATTAGACTCTGTGTACAAACCACTGAGAAAAAGAACCGGAATTGGTACCAAACACCCCAACAAACTGAGGCATCGTTGTAAATCTAGAAATACTGTTGGGCCTTTTAAAACATGTTTATCCACCTGAATTCTTATTATATATTTGAACTCCCAAGGTTTTTCCTTTATCATCTAGATACCTCAGCAAACTTAGTGAATATATACTCAATCCTTGTTTTTCCTTCCAATATGTATGATCTCACATACACCCATATAAAATTGCATCAGCCTATCCTATCAAATAATCAGTTTTCCTGAGCTTTCTTATTGTATTCATCATTTGTTTGCTCCAGAGCTCCTATTTTACTGTTCTCAGTAAATTCTTAAAGCATGGTATACACAGTCCCAAAGTGGTTCATTGATTCTAGTGTTTTGAGATGCCTCAAGGTTGTGGAAGTCAGTATAAAAATGCAAGTTTTTATTTTCTTTGTATCTGTACTTGTGTATTAATTATAAAATCCTATAAGTGTATAAATTATAAATCAACACAATTTCTTAAAAACACGCAGACCATTTTGGTTGAACAGCCTTCTGGGTTGGAGGTGCAATTAAATTTAGCATAAATATGGATACAGCCCTGACCCCTAGAGCACACCAAATCTAACTCTTCTCCAATCTTAGTAACACCATTTATTCTTGAAAGAAATTCTGTAAATAATAAAAACATCCTAATTAGAAATTGATGCTTACTATTAAGTACTGATCAATAGATTTTCTAGATTCTTTTAATGACTTTGTATTTTCTCTTCTCAATATATATTGGGGCTTTTTTTGGTTTGGACATTCAGTTTTCTAATGTGCTGTAGGTCTATTTCTATGGCTGTCCTGATACTCACGTTTCACTCACATCCCTACATTTCACTCATGCATGTGTTCATTGCATTGATACTGTAATAATGTGTATATATAGATGGTTATGCATGCTGTTTATTTTTGCTGACATTTATCATTCACAAGGCATGGTCTGTTCCACAAGTATCATATTTATTGGTATAAATCTATTTATGGAATTTCCAGAAGAGAGAGAGTGAAAGAGGATTCAGCTATTTTAATAAGCTTAGTAGTTAGAGTATTGCCAGTATTGCCTTAAATGCATTAAATGATCTCCCTATGCTTACAACAAAAAAATGTTACTGGTACTGCATTAAATACATGTTGGAAACTAATACAATGAGAACAATATTTTGTGGAAATTCTAAGGTTGGGGTGTGTTTTAAACATTTATTTATGCTGACATATTCAATATCTGTGACTGACACAAATTAGATCATTCTTTCAGATAACAAGCAATCATAGCACTGATCTTCAGATTCATGCTGGTGGCCGTGTGATTGTGCGTGGGAATGAAGGAGTCTTTATCATGGGCAAAACCATTGAATTTCGCATGCGAGGTGATATGGAACTCAAGGCTGTGAGTGCAGAGGTCTTTGATAACTTTGTTTGGTAACAGAGTAGTGGTTTTCATTTCTCATCAATGGATGACCTTTTTCTTACTTGTGTTCCAATTAAAAATAATATTTATTTGAATTGTCCTGACAAATAGATGGGAAAAATTGTAATATGAAAAAAGAAAATGACACAGGAATTAGAATAATATTTCGTACATGTCTTCATTGAAAACTCAAAAACCTTCCAAAAGTAGTGAGGTGCAAAGGGTCTAATCTAGCACTAATTTAAATTTCTCAGTTAATACTGGAGAAATTAATGGGACTGAAAACCAACAAATTCCCTGGCCATGATGGCTACAGCCTAGAGTTTTAAGTGATCAGTATATATATGGTAGATGGATTGCTAGATCATCCAGAATTCCTTATATTTTGGAATGATCCTACAGTTTGGAAGGAAACGAATACAATCCCATTAATCAAGAAAGAAGGGAAAGATAAAAGAGAAACTACTGCTCAGTTAATACCATAGCCATTGAAAATCTGAAATAAAAACCAAGTTCTGGAAATACTCAACAGATCATACAGCATCTGTGACACAACCTAGAAATGTAATAAATTTTGAACAAATGAAAGGTGAGAGGGAATTGGGAAGAAAAGAAATGTAATAGGTGGGGCTTAATATAATGAGAATCTTTGACAGAGAGTTCTGTGGGCATCTCTGACTAGTGGCAGATGATCCATTGCTTTGTGAAAATTTTGGATGTGGACATGTAGAGTTCTGAAATAATCTGGTCTGGGTGACCACATTTAGAAAAAAGGGAGACTAACCATGAAATAGAGAAAATAGGGAGACTTAAAGCTTAAAATATTAATTTTTTTGAGAAAGTGTCCAGATTTTGAATGTAGACTTGAGACCGTGCAGTGGAGTTCTTAATTTCTAATTCCCTTTTCATTTCTCAAATTGTACATGATGTGCCTACCTAATGTTTTGTTTCAAAAGATGGTAAAAGTGATTAATTTTTCTAATGCTTTTACCCCTAGGTAAACAGTATTATTCTTAACGGCACAGTGATGATTAATACATCACGGCTTCCAAATCCATCAACTGGAGAATTTCTGGTAGATGATGGCTGGGAGCGTTATAAACTCTGTATGTGTGCAGATGGAACACTCTTCCGAGTTCCGGTGAAAAACGGAAATACAGGTTGTCAAACATCCAACAATCCCTGTGGAATCATGCACTGAAGACGAAAACCTACCATATACTGAGAAATGAGGGGATAGATGATGGCATACTAACATTTATCACTCAAAAAAAAAAGTGGAGCCGGTTTAATGCAGATGGGTCACTTAATTTATTTTAGTCACTGTTCCTTATAACCCAAGTGCCTGACTTAATTTGAGTATACATTACAATAAGATACAAGAGTTGCATAGTTCAACAGCAGCTTGAACAATGGCCTTTTGTTACAAACAGGAAATAAATCAAATTGGCAGGACAAAGTCCGTGTAATACAGCAGATATTGAGTTAAGAGTATGGAGAGAATTAAAACTTTGCATAAAATTAAACATATGGTTTAAAACTGTAAATAAGGTTCCACTCCAACTCAAAACATTTTTCTTAAGCTTTCGTTGACTGAAAATGGCATAAATACATTAATATTGAGAACACTTTAGAATTATAAAACTAGCTCCACCACCTCATATTTTGAGTTTGGCAATCAGCATTATACAATGAGTTTGTTATAAAATCCCTAATAAAGTAAGCAGTTTATATTAATTGTGGAATTGGACTAGGATTTACCTTTTTCTAGATGTGTAAGTGAGCAACGCGTTGCTTCGAAACGTTAGAATTGAACTTGTCTTTTATCACATGTAAACATCCCCAAAAAATCCATGCATCAGTAGCTCTCAATCAAACGGTAAATAGGGGTATCTACAGGGAATCTAATTTTATCATCCTATCTGGAAGGGAGCATATATCATGCATCTAATTTTGCTATTCTTGAATGTACTTTACAACCACTGCATCACATTGCAGGGCATAACATTGTGGTTATTGTTGAGGAGACCCATGATTCTAGTCCTGTTCATTTTAACAGAAAGGAGAATCACATACGAGCAATTACACAGCAGAAAACTCAACACTCTACTTTTTTCACATGTCATTAGGCTTAATCCTGGAAGTAGAAGAGGAACGCAGTCAGTGCAGAAAATTGATATTTTTGACTTAATTTTGGGGAAGGTTGCCATAATAATTCTTTCGAAACATGAACAAGAGAATTGTGTAAAAATAGTTTACCAGCTATATTCTAATTTCATTGGAATTACTGTTTACAAAACAAAGAAAAAGTAATTGAAAAAAACTTAAGAATTAATACAAACTTCACTGTTCTACAGTTAGTTCTCATAAAATCACATGGCTAATATCTCTTTTTAACATGTTTCTAAAGTTTATATTAACAGTGATTGGAAAGCTTAATTAGTTGAAAGTGGCTTGATATTTTAATCTTATTTGGACATATTTTAAGCTGAGCTAAAGAAATGTTCGATCTTTAATTGATTAAACCAAAAGTCAAAACATGCTTTATCTTTCTGATTTCATATACACTACAAAATGTTTTGTTAGCAAAGAAAATGACAAACAGTTTAGATGCAAAATTAAATAGTTATATTTTTTGATGGCTTTTCAAATTAAAATCCAGAGCAAGCCTGCTTGAAACATTGTGAAAGAGTAACCTTTGTGACTAAAAATAGCTTTGGAGAGACTGTTCATTAATAACTAGTTATTTGTAGAGCGTGAATGCAAAGGTAATTAAGCTTTGGAGCCAAAGTGCATTCACTGCACCATATAACCATGATCTTATAACTTAAGATTTAAAGACCAGTTTGTTTTCTGTAGATGGAAACCAAAAGTTAGCATAATCAGATTGATGGATGAGATTTAGCCCTACTGTTACTATCACTAAAGAACATAGGCTTAGGAAGTTGTCAAGAGGTTGCAAAAAGTCACAACACAACTTACATAGTGCTCCCATGGCTGAGTCTTGACAAGTGTCTATATCTAACTGAAAAAAATTTTAAAATAGTCACTAAGTTCGAGTCTGCGTTTTATTTTAAACAAATGTGTTTTGGACTTTGAGCTTAATGCTCAGGATTAGACAACTAATCTCTTGTATAGAGTTGGAGATCGTGGGAACTGCCGATGCTGGAGAATCTGAGATAACAAGGTGTAGAGCTGGATGAACACAGCAGGCCAAGCAGCATCAGAGGAACAGGAAAGCTGACGTATTGGGTCTGAACCCTTCAGAAAATTTTCTGAAGATTTCATCCAGTTCTACACCTTGTTATTTATTGTATAGAGTTACTGTTTTTGTGTCACACTTGAGTATTGCTGAACAAAAGAGACATGTTACCACCTTCCACCCATCAAGACTAATACATAAAACAATATCAACAATCATATTACTGGAGAAAAAAGGTGCTGGTAGGCTAGCACATTTCTTCAGCTGCTCGATAGTGTAAGTACTTTGTAGTAGATGCTTTGTTTTGGGTTTAGCAAAAATGGTGTCTTTGGATGCAGAGTGCTCATTACAAACAATTGAAATAACATACTGTTTGATTTGACCCAATCACTGGAACTTATAGTCTACATATTGGATGTATTGTCAACACCAGTGCTGGTATAAATTGTGACCACTTTAAATTTGACATTTTTGCATTTGTCTGGAGTGCAAGATGGAAAGCTTTGACAGTATGTTATTTTTTAAAAATCCTTTCATGGGATGAAAACACCTCTGGCTAGACCAGCATTTAATGCCCATCCCCAAATGCCCAGGGGAAGTTAAGAGTCACCCACATTGCTGTGGGTCTGGAGTCACATATTGGCCAGACCAGGTAAGGATAGCGGTTTCCTTCCCTAAAGGACATTAGTGAGGGTTTTTCTGGAAATTGACTCATGGTCATTGTTAGACTCTGAATTCTAGATTTTTATTGAATTCAAATTCCACCATTTGCAATGGGCCCCCCAGAAAATTGCCTGGTTCTCTGGATTTGCAGTTCAGCGATAATACCACTAGGCTGTTGCCTTCCCTTTAAACAGTATTCAAATTTTGAACTACTAAGTGATTGTATTCCTGAGTCTGTTCTTCAGTATTGCATGTGTATTGTTAAAAAAATGTAATATAGCTATAATGGTGCTGCTTCACTATTCCTCTCTCATAGACGAGTTTTACACTGAACAGTGTCATAGCAGAATACTATAATAATCACTTGTAACTTTACTCAGTTATTGATACCAAGTGCTGAAAGCAGCTGATCATTGTTACAAAAAGCAATTTATTAAAACTTAATAGATCACAAGTTTTGTTATACTGCTGGCATAGTTTAATTTATATTGAATCTTAATCATTTAAAAATGCTTTTCATTTTTGCAGTATGGGGTTTTTTCAGCCCTTACTACATGTTTATATATCTGTTTAAAATATTGTGATAGTACACTGTTGCATGATGCAAGGAATTCAGTTTTAAACAGAGAATGACAGATGGATTGCAACTGGTGATGGAATTTTTCAAATCAACTAACTGAAACATTTAATCACTTTCTGAAAGGCTAATTTGCCTCATCTTATATCCAACCTTTTCAGTAAATACTGCAGTATCTCTTCAGATAAATTTAAAGAGAAAGTTTGAATACTACTGCCTCTTCAAAATTTTTTTGGAATTGTTTTTACTTAGGAACTTCTTCCTCCTCGAGAAAAGCTATGTCCAACATTTTGGGAGCTGAATTGAATGGCTAATTAAGTAAATTATTTGTGTTTGTAAGAGTTTATGTACAGAAGTATGAATAAAACAGAAAAAGTAATAATCTTGACACTTATTACCCTTTTTCAAATGCTTATAAAAAGAACAGAATATTTAATACATTTTTGCTGAAGTTTGCTGATTATTAATTTAACATGTTGAACTGAAGTTCTCAATACATCATTCTTGACCAGTAGCTTATGAGAACAGACTGAATGGCAAACTTGTTTGACTTAGCATGGGCACAGTATATCTCAGTTGTCTTTACAATTGTAGGAAACGTTTTATGAAAGTATTTAATGCAGTTGTGTGTTTTGTTTAATAAATACTGGTTGTTTGAATAACAGTCCTAGAGGTTATTGTTTTTTTTGGCTAATTGTGTAGGATTCTTGGTTTTATGAAGCAATCTTTAATGGTTTAATTGTAGTAATCCATTAACATAATCTTTCATTTTGATTTTGGCCTATAGGTTTTGCAAATGTGGGAGGGGTCATGAAATTTCCCCCAAGTGCTTTCCCATCATGCTGCTACTCACCCCAACCCATGTGCAGTTTAAAAGTGGCATAGGCAAGACACACTTGCCCTTGCCTCTATTCAGTGGAGTCCCATAAGTGACTCAATTTCAACTTCAGTTTTACTGTTGGGGAAAATTGGGTTTCGGTAGCGGGAGCTTGGAAGGTCACTTTGTCAGACCTTGGGCAGAAATGAAGTAGGCTTTTCTGTGTGGTCTCATTGCCATATCATGCGTGCAGACCTTGTCTGGGTGCATGAGTGTACTTCCCTCCTGGGCCCCTCGCTCAAGACCTTCGTCCCTCTCGCCCTGGGCCTCGCACCCCAACTTGGTTTAATACTAACCACTCCTACCTCATCCTGCGCCCCCTGACTTTCATTCTGGGTAATGCTTGTACTTGCAATCCTGGCTGCTATTGACATGGCTTCTTCCCAAATGAGGGAGCAGAAGTCATTCTCCAGTCAGAGTATTACTCTTCAGAATGTGAAATAACTGTGGGGCAGTCAGTAATAAACGGGAATATTCCCCCTGTTGGTTATTTGGATGATGATTTATATAAAGCCACTCAGGTTTCTAAAAGTCATCCCCTTTTTCAGGAGTCATTTTTCTTGTAGGATTTTCTGTACAACATGATGCATTCTTAGCATTAAATCACATTTGGATATAAAAATAACTTTTATTGAACAATAAGTTGACATTAGTATCATTTAAAGCACAGAAAAGTACAAGACTTCTTGGAATATTTCAAAACCATTTAAATGGTTACAGTATACCAGTACTTTAGAATTTTAATCAGAGTGAATATGCAAGATGGAGGAAATGTTTGAAGATTCAAGAGACAGCCCTTGATGTAAAGGGTAGTTGCTCAGACAAAACGAAGTACAATCCTGCAATCCCCTTGGCTCAAACATTTAAGTTACCCTCAACAAAGCTTGTAGAGTAGAAATGATGGAAGAAAGCTTAGAAGTAATGTGAAGAATTTAAAAATGTGGTTTAGGAAATACGCATCTGCAGGTACTGTTGTGAATAATTGTAGCCCAAGATAGACAAATAGGGTTATAGCATGGAGTATTTTTAATAATCTTGAACACAGTCAAGCAGTCTGAATTCCACCCACCAAGATGAGAAATCTGGTCTAAACATGGCTTTGTGAGGAAAACTAGTTGTTAATTTCTTGCCATTCGATTATAAGTTCATAAATTCAGACACTTGAGGCACAGATGGAGGCCATTCAGTTCATTGTGTCTGACTACACTAATCCCATTTTCCAGCTTTTGGGTCATGGCTATGGCAACACAAGTAATTAAACATTGTCAGAAACTCTCACAGAGATAACAGTGGGGAGCTGGAGGAATACAGCAGGCCAGGCAGCATCAGAGGAATAGGAAAGTTGACGTTTCGGGTCGGGACCCTTCTTGTCCAGCCCAGTTGGTATTTATCCTCAATGTGCAGTACTCCCTCAAATTTTCAGTTGTGATTGTCACTTGCTAAATCTTCTTTAAAAACTAAGGTGATTATTGTGGTATAATGAGATAAATCTTGATGATGTAAATGATGATACAACTTTGACATCAGAAAGAGATCACCAGTATATAATAGTTATATAGAGGTTTTGGACACGAGGGGTGTAGTTGAGAACCTACGTAAAAGAAAGTTGTGTTATAGTTTAAGGATTTGAATACACAAAAAAAAACCTGTCTATCTAGATTCCAGCATCTGCAAAGAGGAGGCTGGAAGAACACAGCAAGCCAGGCAACACCTGGAGGAAAGGAGCAGTCAACTTTTTGGGTATTACTCTTCTTCAGGACTGGAAAAGTAAATACCCGAAACATTGACTGCTCCTTTCCTCTAGATGCTGCCTGGCTTGCTGCGTTCTTCCACCTTCCTGTTTGTCTATAAGGGTTTGAAGAGTCTTACTTAGTGCTAAGAAAAGCAGCCTCGGATGTTTTCTTTGCAGACTCCCAGAACCAAGGATACTCCAGACCAGTATTTCAAATGTGCAAATAGTGGTACTGGCGTAATGCACAAGATAAAGCATAGTAGCATAGATAAAGGGGCGGAGTGGGGGGGACTTCTCCAAAGCCAATATTAGTTAAAACAGAGGTAGCTGACAAGGGAAGCTATGCGCTGAAGGCAGAGAAAAGACCTCAAGACTTGATTACAGAGTTACAGTGCAGGATAACTCGAGGGTGGGGGGGAAAAGACATTGGAAGACTTTGAAGCCTAACCATGAACTGGAAAATAGAAGTATAGAATCAGAACACAAACATCAAACAACTACTTACCCAGGTCATTCAGACACTGTAGGAGTTGCAGCTCCTGAGACTTTGCCATTACCTCAACCATTTGTTAATACAGGTCTGCATCAGATCAGAAATGGGATCTCTGCAACAGCAGTTTCAGCACTATAAAATGCTCTTTCACACGTGAAGCCGAACCTAGTGCCATCAAGTCAACACACCTTTATGTGCTGTGTTCTGAGGAGGGTCACTGGACCTGAAACGTTAACTCTGATTTTTTTCTTCACAGATGCTGCCAGATCTGCTGAGCTTCACATCTTTATATGTGCTGTAGGAACAATTGCTAATGTATTTTAGCCCCAAAAGAAATTTAGTGGTTGATTTAGTGAAACTGGTGACATTTACTCAGTAAAATCCTGACCTGACGGCACATCCTCAGAGGGTAACGGGATAATCCTTAGAACTCAGATGAAAAGGAATTTCTTCAGTCAGATGGTGGATCTGTGGAACTCACTGCTGCAGAATGCTGTAGAACACAAGTAAGTGAATGTATTTAAGAGAGAGCACAGTTCTTTATTAGTAAGGGGATCAAACATTACAAGGAGAAGGCAGGAGAATGGACAATGGCTCTTATCTTTCTTGGTCCATTGTATGCCTTGTTTTAGGATAATTTGCCCCAAGAACTGTAAATGGCATTTCTCATTTGGTGTAATGCCTGCATTTTATATTGCCTTTAGCATATCCCTAACTTCTGGTTGTGCTCCTTCATTTTATCATTCATTCGGATAAGGCAAATAGTTCCCTATTTGCTTTAACATCTAGTATCCTGGAAAGCAAAGTGGCAATTATGACTGTTCGAATTATGAATGTTCATACTTACCAACATGATCCTAAACATGATAATAATTTTAAAGATCCGAAATATGTTCCAACTTGCATACCATTTGACTTGTGAATGGACTCCAGAACAGAACTTGTTCGCAACCCAGGGATTACACAACCACTACAGACTCAGTGCTCTGATCACTGGAAAGGATCTTTCTGATAAACAATTTCCTATAAGAATATTAGATAAATAACCTCAATTTGTAAGTGAGGTTTCTGCAAATTCACTTTATAAGCAAGTATTAAGCCTAGCGACAAATTCTCCATCCTCAGTTGAAAGGGTTAGCGGAAAGAACTGTCAAGACTGTGAAGTCATTAATACACAAGAAACAAGACTGGGAATTAGCTGTCCTCAGTTACAGAGCAACACTATTTAATGACAAATACTCAACAGTGAAAATTGTTAGCTGTGGCAGTATCCTTAAGCCAAACATACTTTCTCATAGCCTGGAGAGAATAAAACACTACAGAAAAGCCACCACAGAAAGCAGAGATGGTGCAACTCCAGCCACAGGGGAAAAAAAAACGTCAACCTTAAAATCAGGGCAGAAAGTCTGCTTAAGGAACAGGAAATCAAAAGTCATAGTCATTAAATAGATCAACAGATACTGCACATTGTTCCATCAGGAGTAGTAAGATTCAGGATGACCAAGAAGTCATTGATCTTATTCAGGCCAGCAAGTGAGAATAAATAGGAGAATAAAGAGGATGTGGGGCAATCCTGTATTACATGTAGTGCCTATATTATATCCAACTGTAAAGAAAGAGGTACAATTGTTTGAGATGATGCGTGTTGAACTGTGCTTGAGTTCATCACTAAGACATCCACGTTGTCTCGGCCAGAGAGAATGTACGTTGGGGGGAGGGGTGCATGCTGATAATAATGTTAGTCATTAATGACATTATTACCAAAAATAGTGAGCAAAGGTAAATAATTTGAACAATGTAAAGAAAGTTGAAAGAAACCCAAGGATGTGGTGTAGTAAGAGGTAATAAGTCATCAAGCTGTAACTATGCCATGACTAACATCAGTAAGAGAGATGATAAGTCTAGAATGAGCAAGTGAAGAGCGTGATCTTATATACTAGAGAGCTGAATTTGATCATCTACCATATACAGATGTAAATGACAGAACAATTGAACAACCTTACCTACTGATAAGCAGAAGCAACCTCAGGGATTGTTTATGTGCAGCCACCCAGTCAGATATTCTAGACTGATAACTCAACATGCAGGTAGAAGTATTGGCTTAAAGCACAAGTGTGTCAATTCTTCGTGCACTTTTAAAGAATACAGGGAGGCTATCCTCCACCATTGGCATTACATTCTTTGCAATCCCACAAAGCACATCTTCGTCTTCTCTCCCCTTCCAGCATTCCAAACAAACCAATCCTTTTGCAATGCCCAAATCAATTCCTCAATGACCACTTCCCCTTCCCCTTTTGCAAAAACTTTCCATGCAAGTGTAGGGAGACGCAATACCTGTACATTTACCTCCAACTTCATCTGCATCTAAACTCCTAATTATTCCTTCCAAGTGAAGGCAACATCTACTTCAAAAGGTAACTCTCCTTCCAAGATTGTAGCAGAGTAGCAATGCAACATAATGTGCAGGTCTCGTCCTTGCTTTGGGCACCAAGGCATGGAGACTTATAAAACTTTTCACTGTATTAAATACATGCGACAATAAATTGCTATTCTACTTCCAAT